TCCAAAAGAGCACCAGAAGGCTTCGCTTTGCCAACAGATTTTGAGCTTGGGGGAGGTTTATTCAATACACTGTCCCCAAACAAGTCATCGTCTAAAATTGAGGATGCTTTTGCAGTTTTCTTGGGTTCTGAAAAAATATCGTCTTTGTCGTTTTGTGTCACTTGGGAGGAGGGAGGCACAGCAGGTGTTGGAACAGTTTTTGCTGCACCAAATAAATCATCTTCAAAGTTGGTGACTTTCTTTTCAGCACTCTTTGGCTTGTTTCCAAATCCTGCATCGAAAATGTCCTCACTTCCTTGAAGTAGTCCCTGACCTTGACCCGCTTTTCCTTCAGGAACAAGGTCATCATTTCCAAAAATGTCCTTCACTGGTTTGTTTGAGGTTGGTGCATTACTTGCTTGTGGAACTTTTCTGGTGACTGTTGTTGTTGTTCCAGTTGTCATGGAAACTGCTGATGGTGCTGTTGTCATGGCACCTACTCCATCAACAAAGTCCTGTTCCGCTTGTCTTGCTGCTGCCTGTCTGGCTTGTCTTGACGGAGGTCTTCTCTTCTGTTGTACTTTGGCTCGACCCTGAAATTTAATTATGTATATAAATTTTGACATAAATGTGCAGTGTGATTTTTTTTGTTAGTATTAATATTAACATCACAAGAATATTAAATGATGCACTGAAAATATAATTAAAATAAACACAAATATCTAAACACTCAAAAGCTAGAAGCACCTGGATGTTTTAACAGAAATTGAAAGCATCTGATACCAAGGTGAATTCCTACCGTTGTTCAAAAGGCTGCAATATGGAAGAACTTGAGTGAAAACAACCAAGTAAAATTCCACAGATAAGTTTTCCCAGCTTTTATTCATAACCTTACTACATCCACTAGGCTGCCCTTATTTCTGACCCTTACTCTTCCCTAATACCATGAAATCTTCCTTGATTTTTAGTTTATTCGCAAAACTTCACGCTTTCTCAGAAGATGCCCATTACCCACCTTCGCAGCATTTTGTAAAGTACTAGTTGTGCTCACGGGTTGATCAAAGCCCACGGCAACTGTTTCAGGCTCCTTAGCAACGGGAGCCGCACCAGGCAACAAAGCAGCGGGGTTAAATGCCAAACCAGCCTGGAAATAAATCAAAACTCAAACCACTGCAAATTTTAAACATGCAAAGAAGCTAAAAAAGTGTTGGTATCTAAATCTTTTAAAATTTTTTTTTACTCTACTTCTAAGGATGAAAATAATCAAACGTAAACCTTCGGATGAAAACAGTCAAAAATAAACTTTTTTTGAGGGAGGAGGAGGAGGCAATCAATACTAGAGATAAATAAATAAATAAATAACTTTAAAAAAAACAGTCCTTTCAGGTTCTGGTTATCTTCTTCAATGTAACCAGTCCAAAACATTTATTGCAATGCCAAAGCATTAATTTACAGCCACTCTCATAATTTTTAAGCTTTCATTCTGTCAAACAAAGTTGAAGGGTTCATTCCCTATGAAATATATCATTCTACATGTATGTAGACAGATCAAACTCCACCACGACTCTTGCTTAAAGGGATAATAACTCTTCGTATGAGATCTATATTTCAAAATAAAAACATTGTGAATAACTCATAGAAATATAATATATTCTGTTTTACCACAAAAACGGCAGTTATAGCTATTATTCTGATATCTGAGCTTGTTTTTAGACCATGTTACCTCCATTGAAGGCTATACTCTGTTAAAATCTCTTAAACCAGGGACTAACTTTGAATGTAAAAATGGATTCATTAACCATTGGTAAGTATGGGTAAATTGTTGTTTACTCCAGGAAAATTCATTTTTTGGCCGAAACGAAGAGTTATTATCCCTTTAATGCAATTAGATTAGCAGATTAACACTGGGACTGTGAGCTAAAATGTTCATTAAAATATACTTCTGTGAAATCTGGTCACATCTCAAGAACAACCTCAAAAACCAAGCTCAGCAGTCACGGAAATAGAAGCTAAAGTAATGTTCACTAAATTACCTGTAAGCGACCTATATTTGATTGTGGTTTTGGAGGACTACTTATTGGAGCCTCGGGTTTGGCATCAACACTGTCCTCAGCTAATAAATTAATGGAAAAAATGGATTTTGATAAAGTGTGAAGAAATTTGCTGAATATTCAATATTTACTTTATAAAAGCATTTTTCCAAACACAATCAAATGGTGAATCTGAAAAGAAAAAAATATTTAGAGTTTTTATCTTAAAATAACTTAACTTTTATTAACTTAGTGATAAGTTTCTGTCTTTGCTCTTAATTCTTTTTTGTCTTTATTTTTTTAAAATAGGATTGAATCACTAACCTTTTTCTTCCTCCTTTGTTTCTTTCTTTTTGAAAGCTGATGGATCAAATCCACCAAACATGGACACTCCCCCTACAGGTTTCTTGGGCTTACTAACTTCAGCTTCTGGAGGCTATGGCCACAATACAATACAAAGAGATTTTGTAAGAGAAGAATTTTATCAGCTGCATTATGTTACAGGCCCATAGCCAGGGGGCATTCAAAGAGTTAAAAAGAACCCCCCTTTCTGCGGGGAAAAAGGTCCATTCTGGACAAAATTTGAGATACACAAAAGTTTCATTGTAAAAGGTCCACTTCTTCAGAAAAAGAACTCCTTTTGAAATTGCTGGCTACAGGCCTATGTTATAAGAATAAATTAAGTTTTCCACTATTAATTCACTGATGAAGATGCTCTAGGTAGACATTGAAATAATGGAGGTAAAAATTTTCAATATTAGCTGTTGATTGAAGAACAGTTACTTTATTCTCAAAGATATGTTGTGCTCACTCAAAAACTTGAGACCAAATTTTGATAAACTAGCAACATTTTTTCCTCAAAAGTTCAACCATGCACTTCCAAAAGTTCATTTTTCATCATGAAAATATTTAAAGTTTTTTCTTAGGCTAGTAACAATACCTTCTCTTCTTTCTTAGCTGCTTGTTTTCCAAAGAGATCTCCTCCATCATCCTCACCTCCTGCACCAAACAAGGACACCCCACCTGCCGGCTTTTTGGGTTTTTCTTCAACAGGCTAAAATTAACAACACATTTTGAACTCTAAATAATTTTTAAAATAATTTTTTTGTTAAAACTACTTAAAAGAATTCTATACACATTAAAATGTGTCAAAATCATTTTTTTATCTCTTGATATCCTGCAAAGCTGCTTATTATTTCCAATTTAAACCTTGATAAATTTCAAACTTTCAAACAGAATTACTTGTGCCTAATTTTGGTATTTCCTACAGATACGTTTTAAACCAACATTTCATCTGATTATAGTTGAAGACTTTCATCTGCTACTTGTATGTAACTTCAAAAAAGAAATGTGGAGGTTCCTTTGCAAATAGCTTAATTGTACTTTTTACCATCTTATAGTAAGCAGCGAGACTTTTGGCTCCCAAAAAGTTGGAAATCTGCCAATAGTCTGAAAAATTTCATTATTGTTGTAGGTGCCAACTCTACCCAGACATTTAGTTGTCTGCCAAAAGTAGGAAAAATCTTATCCCTCCGTCAGTCATCATCAGGAAATGGGGCTGTGACAGATATGACTACCAAACACCCCAATGTAAATACTGGCTGGTAAATGTCAGTTCATTTCTCAAGCTACCAACCAAGGAACTTCCACAATTCCATTGAAATGACAAAACCAATTCAAGATTTCAATTTAAAAACTGAGCTTTTGACAATCTAGGACTTAGTGACAGCTACCTTAGATGACTTGGCAGCACCACCTCCAAAAAGATCACCCTCATCTTCATCCTCTCCTCCAAAGAGAGGATCAGCAATTTTCTTGGCCGGAGTTGGTTTCTTTTCTTCCACCTTTACTGCTTCTTTTCTTTCCTCTTCCACTTTAGATGCACCCCTTGTCTTTTTGAGTCCTTTGGTGGCAGCGGTGGGATCAAAACCTCCAAACATAGACACGCCACCTATTGGCTTTTTAGGTTTAACTGGTTCCTCTTCCTGGGGGAGAAATGGAGGAGAAGATTTATATTGACAAATTTAAAGACAAGTGCTTAATATTTCTAATTTTATCTTTTAATTGTAGCTGGAGACAAATGACTAAAAATAAAAATGTTACAATGATCTCTTTTTTTTCAAAATTCTTATCTGTACAAAAAAAAATTCACTTATTAAGAGGATATAAAATGCCTCAAAAATTAAATAATTACCACTTTCTCCTGTTTCTTTTCCCCAAAAAGGTCATCATCTTGAGATGGGCTTTTCCCAAAAAGATCTGTGGAAGATTCTGTCACTGTAGCGCCCTTTACTGGGAGAGCGGGATCAGGCTAAAAATATTTATTCCATTTATTTATCTACTTCAGTTCAAGTATTATCATTTTTTATCTTTTTTACTATGACTACAATCAAACGTGTACAATATACTAGTACATTAAATGTAACAAGATTAATGCAATTAAGTGACTCTGTAGGTATAAGTAGCTGTACTTATAACTTGGAAAACATGTTTAGATCTAAAAAACATTGATCTTACAATCATAACCCAACAAATTATACTTGTTTTGTAATTAATTTCCAGTGTGCACATGTGTGTGTGTGTGTGTGTGTGTGTGTGAGAGAGAGAGAGAATAAGAGAGAGATACTATCACACACACTAACCTCCTTAGCCTTAGGTTTACTAGGAGAGAACAGGTCATCATCGCTCCTAGGACTCCCAAACAAATCTGTGGTGGACGAACTGACCGTAGCTCCCTTTATGCTGACCTTCTGTTTGGCTGGTTCTGTAGGCTGCTTGGCTGGTATTGGCTGGAGATGACCAAAAATGAACAAAAATTAAAGTGAAATTGATGTTCTTACATGAAGAGATGAGTGGTATCAAGTTAAAATACAACTGTGCAAGAGAAGAACACAATTATCTCAACTATCACAATCAACTGTAATATAATCTCTCTATATTTCTTCTTCTTCTTCCCCTCTCTCTCTCTCTCTCTCTCTCTCTCTCTCTCTCATATACACACACCATTATGTTGGAAGTAAAACACAGACTCCAGCATTACAATTGATTCTTTCTCACGCACACACTCACACCCACCCACACACACAATTGCGCTAGAGAAGAACACAGTCTCAACCGTCACAATCACCTTAGTCTGTGTGGGACTTCCCACTGGGCTTGCTGCTCCAAACAAATCCACGTCTGGGCTTTCTGTCGGTCCGCCACCAAACAAAATATCCTCATCTTCAAACAACATTTTACTCTTGCTTCTGGACTTCACCTGCGAAAATCATTCATTTTTCTTATCTCTGTTTTACCAATTAGGAATTGCAATTATGTTGAACCTTTTAAAATTAAAGACAGGGACAAAAGATCTCTGATAACTATATCATGTATATGGGAAGTAATCTCATCAAAGATAAAACTCATCTTTAAATTGAACCAGAAAGATTTTTTTCCTTTCAATTATCAAGATTAACATAAATAATTTTCTGTTACTTTCTTCTTTTTTTTTTTTTTAACTTATCTTCGTAGTTTTTCTTCTTTGGAATATGAACACCTTCTTTAAATATCATAGTCCCATAAATCCCATCCCTTTACCTCATGTGGCTTTGAAGCCTCAGTCTTTGGCACAGAGGTGGCGCCACCAAACAGATCCCCTCCATCTTCGTCGTCATCGTTACTAAAGATGGAGAGAGAGGGGCGTTTCTGCGCTGCTGCTTTGGGCATTGGCTCCTCTTTTGGTTTTTCTTCCTTTTTCTCTTCTTTCTTTCCAACCCCCAAGACATCCACCCCACCAAAGAGAGAAACGCCACCTGGTGGCTTTTTCTTGTCGCTGAAATAGAATAACAGAATTTTTTTTTAAATGCTGCCTCTGGTGAGCTTGCACAGAGATGATTCAAAACTAATGGCACTTTGCTGCCACCTGGTGGACAAATATCAAACTGATAAGGGATTGAGATTAAATGACTTACAGAGGTCATCTACGTACACCATGGCAAATTAAGTCTGGTTGGTTCAAGCATGCTTTCAAGAGCAAGCTATACCTGGGGCTTCAGCACTGCATAGTTTTTGTTTTTTGTCACAGGTAGAAACTTGGCCCAAACCATAAGAAGGTAACTTGTGAAAGTAAGTAAAGTCCCCTATACCATAAGAAGTGAACTTGTGAAAGTAAGTTAAGTCCCAAATACCTTCATTATGTTGCAGGATGGCTAAAACAATAATGCTTCAGTTTTTAGGTTATATGTACCTGTCTTTAGGTTTAGAAATGGCTGCAAACAAATCTCCACCATCACCATCTTCATCATCTTCATCAAATAGACTGACAGCTTTGGGTTTACTTGAGGTCTGAAAGATAATTATGGTAAAAACTAGAAAATTTTATCACTTAAAAATTTATTAATATTTTTAAATGCGCGAAACCCATATTAAGTGACAAACTTTTCATAATTATGGAGAGGCCCATTTTCAAGTTTGAGGTAATTTTCACAGTGAAACAATTGTGTAGGCAGAAAACGGTCCCAACAAAAATTTTTAAAGACTGACATATAATTGTGGCAATTACTCAATCTTTTCAATGGCCAAAAATCACCAAACTTTCAGATACATGATTTTATAATAACAAAATGTTATATTTCTACAGAGCATTTGTGCTGCTTTTACTGCATAGAATAGAATTACAGGGTAGCCTGCTTTTTAATTCTGTTGCTTCCACTCAATAAGAATGTCCTGATTCTAAAGAATTATGACTTTAAAAAATACAGTATTTGCAAAATTCACAATTTTTCCCACATTGAAAAGATTGAGTGATTACTGTATGATATATTTTAAGACAACAATCTACTAATTATAAATGACTTTTAAAAATGTTGCATAAAATTTTTTCAAGTGCGTTTTATCTAATTGTCAAGCCCTAACAATTTACAAGGCAACAGCTGTAACACCGACCTCTTCTAAAGGCAAAACAAGTTATTAATAGAACTAACTGCTGTTCAATTATATTTGCAAAATGTAAAATTGTGATAATTAAGTTTTTCAGTATAATGCAACAAATTTTGACCTTGGCTATATAGAACAGAAATTAACATAATAAAAATTACTGCAAAGGTTTTGCCAACAACATGGTGTCACTGAACTTGACCTACAGCAAGGCACCACATGCTGTTTAAAGTTCTATTCTCACTACCTGAATATCCAATATTAAAAGACATGACATTTAACAAATGCGGGTTTAGAATTTGTTACTTTTTTTAGGTCAGTGCTGACAAGTTGAATAACAAACATAAAGATAAATTCAACAATAATCACATAAAAACAAATTTCACAATAATCAAATACATGAATATAATTAGTATGAGCAAGTATTCAGAAAAACATACCCTATCAGTGTGTGTGTGTGTGTGTGTGTGCGTGCGAGCATAACGACAAGAGATGAGCAAATCCCCTTTCTCATCACAACATATCTCCTAGCCTAATATGAAAACAAAAATTATCTACCTTGGATGCTGGAGCAGAAAACAGTCCATCATCAGTGCCTTCCTCACCAAATAATCCTCCTCCTCCTCCTCCACTGCCAGCCTTGGGTTTATTTTTACTGCAAATACAAATATTTAAAATTTTAACTAAAATGCCCTGAAATTGCAATTTTTAAGATGCATATTAAAGGGATAATAACTCTTTGTATGAGATCTATATTTCACAATAAAAACATTGTGAATAACTCATATAAATATAATATATTCTGTTTTACCACAAAAACGGCAGTTATAATAATAATAATAATAATANTTATAGGCAGTTATAGGTATTATTCTGATATCCGAGCTTGTCTTTAGACCATGTGACCTCCATTGATGGCTATACTCTGTTAAAATCTCTAAAGAGATTTTAACAAAAAAACAAACTTTTTAGAAAAAAACCAAGGACTAACTTTGAATGCAAAAATGGATTCATTTACCATTGGTAAGTATGGGAAAATTGTTGTTTACTCCAGGAAAATTCATTTTTTGGCCGAAACAAAGAGTTATTATCCCTTTAAGGGAGTAGACATGTCAAATTACTGCCATTAAACCTGACTAATGCCACCATTCTTAGTATAGTGTCAAAAAGAAAACTTAAAACACACACACACACACACACACACACACACAGGATTTCATTTTGTCGTTTCCCAACTGAGCTGACTGAGTGATTAATTTTTGTTTGTTTGTTTGTTTGTTTTTTTGGCATGTGGATTTTATTCAAGTTGTGTATGAAACTGGTAGTAGTAATTTGTGTAGTAATTCTCATCGAGTATGCAGAAGACCTTTTGATTGTAGGAGTATGTTGGACACAAGAGGAATGGTGTTCATCTCTTTGCATTCAATGAGTCGTCATGTAGTTTTCTACACTTATGTAGGATGATAGTTTTAATGGGAATGTGCCCTTAGAAAGTATACTGCAGATAAGTAATAATAATAAAAAATCCTAATGCTTGGCCAGATGTAATACATATTCAACAGTGACAAATCAACAGCAACGGGAACAACCTTCCAATCCTACCTATACAAATTACAACAATCCTCAGATTTACTCCTCTTTTTCTCTTTCTTCCTCACTGTGCCATTTTTGGTGAAGGAAGTTAACCGGACGAAAGCGATCTTCCACCATTTTTGTTTAGATGATTTCTCTTTCACTCTGCAACCGCTGCTATTTTCAATTTGTATACAGTCAGATGTCAGGGATGCTACTCCTTCCAAACTTTGAGCCGATAGCGAGCTAAAGCTCCTATGCTCTAATAATTTACATCTTTCCATCGTAAAAAAATGTCCTGTTTGAATGAAAAATCAATTATTTTTCCTTGCCTTGCCTGGGTACCAATAATTTTACAAGGAAATTTCCAAAATGTTTTTCTAGTGTAGTCTAACTTATTTCGTAGCACTCTGGAGTCTTTTCCATGTGTAGTCTTATTTCATAGTGCTTTGGGATCCCGCTTATTCTATGCCAATATCTAGCTATACTTTTCATATGCTTCAACAGAATATGTATTTACACCTCGTGATTGCCCTGCTTGGACGTGGTCCAGTCCAAACCTACATCACAGCTGTTGCATAAGCATTCATAACAGCATACAGTAATTTGTGCCAAGAAGGAAAAAGAAAAACGCAATATCCACATATGGGGTTAAATCTACTCTAATTCCTCATGACGTGTTATTAATTTGACCAACAGTGCTGATTTTCGGAAAAAGTTTTTCAGTCATATCTGTCAAAAAATACAAGGTTCAATCACAGGTGCACTATATGCTTTTGTCTCAACCCGTGCTGGTATCTTTCCAGAAAATTTCTCAGTCATATTTCACAATAAGAGAATTCCAGTTCTCGCATCCATTCAAACCAGCCACAAAGAAATCCTCAAAGTCCATGTCATATTTAGTACCCAAGTGGTCAGACCAACAGTCTTCTGGTCACTCCAACTGACCGCCCTCACAGAACTAAATTTCTAATAAAAACATAGTAGTCTGAAAATGACATCTACAGATAATGGAAAATCAGGGAGGTACTTTCTGACAGTCTTCCAAATTATTTTTGTTGATCGATCCTCTATGTTTGACCATCTTCTGACAGAAAAAGATACCTGTCAGTGAAAGCTTGAAAATCTGACCGTCTTCTGGAAGACCCAGCAGACGCCCTCAATCTGCCCCACGAAAGAATATCTGTGCAACAACAGCTAAAATTCCCCACAGTTGCCTTTGGTGTACTGTCTCTTAAACATCTTATTTTTAATTGTCTGATGTAAAAATTTACTGGTCAGTTGCCTTGGACCAGTAGCTAAGGTCACACTAAGAGGACATCTGGTACCTGGGACACAAATGTTAAAGCAATTATCTTACAAATGGCATCTCCATGAACTAATTGTCTGTTAGCATTTCCTTACAGGTAGAACCCACACCTTTGAAGCAGGAAAAATTAAAAGATAATTCTTCACATTCTTCTTCATTCTGGAAAATGAGCAGCCCCATTTTTTTCAAATAATTACAAAATATTTGTAAGGTCCTCATACCTGATTCTGTATCAACATTAATTTTCAAAATTTAATTTCAAAATTTCAAGATTATAATTCATCATGTCCTAATTTGAGGATCCAACAAGAAATCACAATCTGTGCGAGTTCAAGATCCTTTAATCAATAAACAATATCTGCATCTCCATTTTCTAGAAATATTTTCTAGCAATTCATGTACTCTCGGAACTTTCACAGACAAAGTACAAAATTCATGGCTTCCATGTTGATTGTCTGCTTTTTTCTACTTCATTCAAATGAAATATTCAGATTTCAACATCACACCTCCTCTTTAATATAAGTCTGGATCACAAAATACTTCTGCCATTTTCTTCTGTTCTTCATCACAACAAAGTGACACATTTCATAAAAGTCGCATTACTTCCTGAAGATTCTCATACCACAAGATATCCAAAAATATGGAAAAAGTTGGCTGAAGAAGTCCAAAATTCACCACCATTATCATTCTAGATCTGAGTTCACAGACTGTCGCAAGGAAATATGACTTTATTGGTTGTCCACCAACTATGTATTACAACAATCATGTGACCTAACACAGCTGCAAAGGGCAACAAATTTCCTTCATAAGCGACCTCTTAGACTAAAAAGCATTGCCAAGACAACTTAACTTCCCTGAGGAAAGTAGAAATGGTTAATTTGGATAACTTCAACTGTCATAATTCCTCCAATTAATTAAGTGGTATTTAAGTCCAGGCCCTTTGGTGGGGGAAGGGGGGGGGGTGGAGAGTGCAACAGAACCACCCTTTTAGCCAAAAAAGATCCATTATGAATAAAAAAAATTGATCTTGGTTTTATGCCATTTTTCAAGTTGAAACAACTAAAGGCACCCTGAGCTTCAAAGCTAACTTGACACTAACCTTTTCACTGTAGCCTATCTCCATCGTGTCAAGTAACCTCTGACGAAAATAGTTTGACCTAGTTTATATAAGCCAATCGAATCCATGTTTCAAAATTTTTCACCAAAGTTTGGTGAAAACGCTGATTGGTTGATCGTCAATCGGCAATCCTCGGCTGATTCCGCAAGCTCCATACTAACAACATAGTTATTGTCGAGTGCGGAGACATCCGAGTAGTTCCGAGTGGTTCCGAGTACATAACCGTACACAAAGAAAGCATGGAGTATATCGGAATTGAAACCAGAGCAGTTGATGCCCTGCATCATTATCTACTGAGGGATGATGTATTCTGCGTGCTGCCCACAGGTTACGGCAAGTCCCTGATATTCAGCCTTATCTTTGATTGGTCCGGATTTGAACAAAGCGCGCTTTGACTCGTTCGCGTTCATTGGCTAGATCGTTCAATGAGTCATTGAGTGCGGGCTTTAAATTTGATTGGCGGGCGGCGGGGGCACTCGAATCTGGTCAGAGGTTACTTGACACGATGGAGATAGGCTACAGCGAAAAGGTTAGTGTCAAGTTAGCTCTGAAGCTCAGGGTGACTAAAGGGGGTTAAAAGGCCCAATTTAAAGTGGTGTTGACCATTAGAAATATATCATACATCATAATAAATAAATAAATAAATAAATAAATAAATAAATAATTTTGTAGCTCTATCACCTGGAAGCATCACAATGCATTTTTTCAGTGAGTTCTCTAACATTTAATTTAGTTTTACAAATTTTATCATATCTTCACTTTAGCTAATCAATCACCCACATAATATAATTCAGCAATATATTGTACATTCATTGTGTTGTAAACTATAAGGGACCGTTCACATGAAAAATCTATTTTTAAAAATTTAAAAATCTATTGACGGTATCTTGTGATCACGATCTGTGCCCTGAATACCCCGCGGCGTAATTACTGGCAGCACCGAGAATTAATTACAGCTTTGGAAGTAACTGGCTCGCGATGCCCGTAATTACGCTGTGGGGTATTCAGGGCACAGACTGTGATCACAAGATACCGCAAATAGATTTTTAGAAAATAGATTTTTCATGTGAACGCAGCCTAACATATTGCTAATATAATGATTGCCCTCCACACCTGGCACTAATAGGAAGTCCCAAGTTCACAGCTGCTAGGTAAATAAGGCAATTATTCGTCTTCACAACTAGAATTAAGGTCTACACGTTTAAGGTGGGAATCACCTCGATTGAAGGTGCATTTATAGCCAAGCTGAGCCGACCTAGCTTAGTGTTGGGGTCTTTAGAGACAAAGGCCTGTAGCCAGGGAGGTTCTGAGGGTTTGAAAGACCCCCCCCCCCTTTTTGCAGGGAAAAGGTCCCCTCTGGGTAAATTTTTATCTAGGTGCACAAAGGTTTCATGGTGAATGGACCGCCTTCTTCAGAAAAAGAACCACCCTTTTGAAATTGCTGGCTATGGGGCTGACATAGCTACATGTAGTAATGAAAAAAGACCAGAGACTATGCAAGGTTTTACAACTTGGAAATAAATAATTATCTAAAAGTTCAGAATGAGAAAAAAAGAATGGCAGATCTTGATTACAAAATAAAAATTTCCTCCAAGAAACAAAATGTTGAGGGTGAGTTTGGATAAAAAAAAAAGGCGCAAAATTGGAAGGGGAACTTTTTTTCTTTTGCAAACAAGTAAAATAGGATTGTTGCAAGGCAATGTATTACATATGATTATACAAAATGACAAAGGAACTGGATTTCTTTGTCCGATGAGTCAATAAGTATTTACATAGACAAAGTAATATAATCTGTACAATGCCCAATAAAAAAGTTAAATGTACAACTGTAGTGCAGAATACATGAATATGTATATGAAGCAGCAAAACAGTTTTTTTCTGATATTCCTAATACATGTTAATCCAATAAAAATACAAGAATAAATAAATAAACATATGAATCAATAATTATTAAAATCTTTAAAAATAGAACCATCACGTATAACTTAGGAAACAATTATCCCATGTGACCAATTTTCATACTTATACAACTTGCATTTTAACAGCCGTTTATAGAGAGACTTGATCGCTCTGACTCAAAGGGCAAACTTTTTGCGAACTTCATGAATACCCAAAGCTGCCAACTTAAATTCAACATCTGTTGCACATGGTATTTTTGTGCCACCTGTGACTGGGTATGCCTTGAAATGTGTGTAGATTTGCTTCACCCAGCCAGCATGGATGTATATGTATATGTACATGTATAAATGAATGTCTACCCAGCTCTTTTCTCTCTCTCTCTGTCACACACGCACACACACACTCACACACACACACACACAAACACACACTCACACGCACATATTCACCCTCTCTCTTGCTTCCTCTCTCTCCTTCTTCCTCTCTCTCTCCCTCTTTCAAAAACACTTATTCACTCTCTTTCTCTCTCACACATGCGCACTCTTTCACCTACACACATACTCACTCACTCACTCCTCCCATACACACACACACACACTCTCTCTCTTCTCTCTCTCTCTCTCTCTCTCTCTCACACACACACACACACACACACACACACAAACACACACCAAGATAACCCAGTATCTATCAACAAACAACCTTGCCTTGTCACAAGCTCATGATCAATTGTCATGCAGCAAAAGATAACAAACCACAAGCATCTAACAGATCAAAAACAACCATTTACAATCATAATCCTTTATATGAACAACTGTGCACATGGACAGTTTCATTTGTTTTCTAATGCTGACACAACCATAAATTCAAATATATTTGATAAGGACAATAACAAAAAATACCTGGGTTTTGTTCTTTGTTTAGTTTTTTTTTTCTTGTTGTTTTGTTTTATTGATTTTTTATGTGAAACAGTCATAAATGTAAATACATTTGAAGAGTGCAATAATAATAAAATTAAACTAATTTCTCCCCTTGAAACTGAGTAAATATATGGCGATCTAGAGCACACAAATAAAAAACAAACTGTATGTCTTCTATAACTACAAACACCATAAGCTGTTTTGAACAGAAAAAACACTTCCACACTGTACATACAGTAGCTGGTGAATGGAATCTGTCCTAAAAGAGGACAAAATAGCAGCATGTGTAATGGCACATATATCTTGGTTTGACATTCACCGTCTAAAAGATTACTGCTACAAACAGGTTTTCATTATAACAACTGATAACAAGACCACAGGGCCATTTTGGATCCATTATTCATGTTCAAATTCTAGCTATAAATATGAGATTTTTCTTTCTAAGAATAAAACAGTCACAATATTTCATTTCAAGAAAAAAAATTCTGAATTTAGTCCATTTTTGAGTTTTGAGTTTGATTTATGATCAAAAGTTTTTATTAAAAAGATGTGTTTGTTTTTTCATTGTGAAATCTCTATTACACCAATATGCCCTTTTATATAAGAACTGGAGTTGATTCTGACAGTTTTAGTCAGTTTTATTTTTTAAATAATTACTTTAAGTTTTTAAAATTTTTGTTATCATTTATGATTTCATCTTCCTATTTAAATCAAACTAATTTAGGGTTAATTTTAAATTTATAAGTAAGACAATTTTTATCTAATGCACTGTATTGTACTTCAAAAATTTTAATTTGTATATAGTGCAAATAGTGTAATGAAAAGTATAAAATGGAATGGGCTAATAAGAAATAAAGATTTCTATTATATTATTATTTTATTCATTTTATTATTATTATTATTATTTGTATTGCACAGTTTTATAATTTAAATTTTTAAATTGTATATAACTATATTATGCAAATGCTATATAATGTATTGAAATGTATATGTATACAAGGGAATGGGCTTGATGAGAAATAAATATTTCTATTATTATAATTATTATTATTATTATTATTATTATTATTATTATTATTTCATACCTGTCAGCTCTGGGTTTTCCTGCAAAAAGATCATCTGCATCTGGCTCTTCAGCGAACAAACTGTTGCTGGACACGGAAGGACTTCGACTGGCCTTCTGCGACGACGATGGCGTTGGCTTGATCTGTCCTGACGCGGTGGATTTACTGCTACTGGACCGTGACTTAATCTCCTCTTCCGAAGCCTGAAGCATGTTTAATTGGCTGGTTTACACAAATTGCACAGCAGTTACGTAAGTATCAAGCACATACGATTAACTATAAATGGATGAAAATCAAAGAGAGCATCACCCTCAGTGAAATGCTATCTTTGTTATCTGTGTTTCAAAATATGTTTATGCAGATTCCATCAGATATGATAACCAAAACTCAGTTGTGTGCATTCACATGCTTATTTTGACCTGACCTTTGCTAAACCTTCATAGGGGAGCACAGCGAGTATCAGAGGACACAAAAAAACTCATCTTTCTACTGTCAGTATCGATGAGCAAAATATAAGGCCTGCTGCAAATACGCAGTGATTTTGCAACAAACTTGCTGCAATATTGCTGCAAACTGCAATTCCTTCTTGCAAATTTGCTGCAATATGGCTGCAAATTAGCAGCAATAAAATTTTCTTGCAAACTCCTGCAAACATGTTGCTGCAAACTTTTAATTTGCAGGAATATTGCTTCAACCTTTTCATTGTGCTAAGGGGATCCTAGTTAAAGTTATACAGGAAACTTTTTGCTGTAACTTCACAGAAAAAGAAGCTGGAACGCTGATAGTGGATGAGGTAGTTTCATTCCAAGTGTCCTCTGAAACTCAGGTGAAGGGGAGAGAGGGACAAACAAAAGGATAGATGGCAGTCTGTTACAAGAAATATCCATAAAATATGGGGTACTTTTTGGAGGATCATGCAAGCCATTCAATGTGCATTACGATTCAATTGTTTTAATAAAAGAAATGCCACCGATTCCAAATATATACAGTTGGTTTTACCTCGTCTCATTCTGCCAGACAAAATATTATGACAGAATGCTGTCACAACAAAAAATCTGATTTTATTCACCAACCTAAACACTTCAGTAATTGAACTTAACTAAATGAATAGTTTCACTTGCAATTTACTTGCATGTACATTAACGTAAACAGAATATACATTTATGTTATTAATAGCAGACTAAACAGGCACAAACTCATGTAAGCAAATATATAATGCGCACACACACACACACACACACACACACACACACACACACCTGTTGGCATGCGCACAAAAACACTCACACACATACACATGCATAGATACACACACGCACGCACACACACACACACACACACACACACACACACACAAATATATATAAACATACCTCATCATCTGAGGGGGGTCTCTTGGATTTCAGGGCTGCCGCCAGAGGGTTTGGCGCCCCTCCAAACATGGATACTGCTCCAGGGGGAAGCTAGCAAGGAGGGAGAGGAAAGGAAGGTTAGCTGGGTGAATCAATGAGAAAAGGCAAGGTAAATCTGTACTTCATTGAAAAATATGTATGGAACAAGGCAAATTGTAAAAAAAGGAAAAGAAAATTTATCACTGGGCTTGACTAAAATGTTAGGTAAGCCAAATTAATAATTCTTTTACTAACTTTCTTTTCAGGAGGTTTACTTTTCTTAGGCTCTTCTTTCTTCGATGGAGGTGGTTTTCCTGAGAAGATATCTCCTTCATCATCTTCGTCCTCATCATCTGCAAACAAGTCGACAGCTTTGGACTCCTTCTTCTTCTTGGGTGGCTCAGCTAAAATGTTAAATGGAAGAAAGATTAAGAAAAAAGTTACTCATCCTTTTCCAAGTCCTTGAATCAAAAAAAAAGAGAAGAAAAAAAAAAGAAAAAACCTAACAAACAAACCATAAACAAGTCTGTGATGATAGGTGGAGAATATGAGAAGAACATGGCAATATGAAAGACATGAATTTGTACTCTTTTTAGCAGGTTTAGCAGATTCAAAATTCAAAAATAGCTCCAAAAATTTCAGTCAAAATTTAATCAGGTAATTACCCTTTTTAGCTGGTGGTGCTGAGCCAAAGAGGTCGCCTTCATCATCGTCATCAAACAGTCCTCCCCCTCCTCCCCCAGACTTGGCAGTTGATTTTGTCTGGCTTGGTTCAGAACTTGGGGAACTAAACAGGTCGTTGTCATCATCATCTAGATCTAGAGAAATAAGTGACAGACAATTACAACTCTTTCTTTAAAGTTATTCTGTATTTCTTTAAGTTTTAAATCAGCACAAAAATAGATGCATTATAAAGTAATCAGATGTAGGGAAAAACTCATTTTTGGTGTTTGGTAATAATAAAGAATTACATCACAAGCTGTTCTGAGAAACAAATACACTTCCACATTGTATACAGTTGGTGAATAAAATTTGTCTCAAAAGAGGACAAAATAGTAGCATGTGTGATGTCACATATATCTTGGTTTGACATTCACTGATCTAAAAGATTACTGCTACAAACAGGTTTTCATTATCAGAAAATGCTATAAATATAAGACATTGCTACTACAAATAAAAAAGTCAAAATTTCATTTCAAGAAAAAAATTCTGAATTTAGTCGATTTGAAAGTTTTGATTTATGGTCAAAACTTTATCTATAATTTTTTTTATGTGTGTGTGTGAAAGTACTATATACCAATAATATCCTCAAGTGAAATAAAGCTCACTTAAGAAGCTATCAAAATCTTTAATAATAATACTTGACACTACTTAGTATTATCTCTAGAAAAAATAACTTAAATTACCAAATGGATTTGATACAAAATACAGCAAGATATTATTTCCCAGTTCAAAATATTTGCTTGATTAATGATCTCATCTTGCAATTATCTCCACCTATTGTTCTGTTTAATCAACTCACCTCCAAATATGGATATACCCCCTACAGGTATTTTCTTTCCTGTCTTGGTCATTCCTTTGCTCTCTGTTTGAGTTTGTGCAATTTGAATTTAAAGGGATTAGAAGTGCATAAAGCTATTTACAATCATCACGAAAATCAAATTTAAAATCATTTAGTGCAGTAGCGTATCTAAAATCTTTGAAAAAACTGTACTTGATGAAACAAAAATAAATTATCAGATCGATAATGTGATTTAATGCAGAATGCAGCTATTTCATTATTTTCTCCTTGTCTTAGAAAGGAAAGATAGACTGAACCTCCCTGGCTAAGAAATTAATTAATGCAAATTGTAAATGGACACTGAAATGATTATCACAGCAGCAATCAATTTCACATGGTATAATCTTTGCGGTATAGGTAAATACTTTCAAAATTGACAACCACCAAGCAAAGTAAGCAGTCATTTACATTAAACTACAATCAAAGAGTGCGACATATGCATTAAAAATGCATAACTATTCTCAATTCTTTCAGCATTTCATGATTTCTATCAAATTGTTAATATTAATTTCTATTATTTCCCCATAACAAGTTATCAGAACGTCCTTTATTTTGTTCACAGAAGTCATCACTTCTTGGAAACAACGACCTTTCCTCAAGTCAGAGATGAACAAGAAATAATTGTGACAATTTCCATGATAATCCAGTCTGCACCTTGCTATTTTTAGGTCACTGGTCACAAGAACAAGTAGACCTCAGAAAACTAATATTCTCAATCAAAATTCAACAGTCCAAAGATAAAATCTACTGATTATGGGAAGTTTTTCATGTAAGACATAATGTAAAATGTTCACTACTTCCAGTGAAGTAGCAACTTTGAGAATTGGACCAGTGACTAGGGTTTCAGACTGATCACCTGAAAATCAAATATCAACTTAGACAGAACAATACCTTTGGCTTTAGGTGGAGGTTTTTCTTCCTCTACCTCATCCTCTTCCTCAGACTTTTCTTCTATTTTTTCTTCTTTTATTACATCATCAAAAAGACCACCACCCTGTAGAAAATGTTCAAAAAAGAAAAACACTTACATGATGAAGTATCCAGAACCTGAACCTTTAAATTATTTTATAGATTTCCTTATTCTTTTTCAAGACTTACAATTTTTTAAAGACAGCGATGTTGTATTGTCACCTTGAGATGTATTTCTGGTCAATGATGGATCATCTCCTACATTACCACAGTAGTTTATGAATAATCACATTATATTTGTTACAACACTGACAGTCCAGAAATAAAATCATTGAAATCCATAATATATAATTCCACTTGAATGTCTTTGAATTTCCATAATGGTTCTCTGACATGTTACTTGGATCAAGTAAAAAAGGAATTGCAGATCGGACACAGAATAATAAAAAGAAGCAATGACCAAAGAGTTTAAAAAGAAAAGAGAAAATATGAAAGAAATAAGAAAGGGAAACATGGGAAATATACAGAAAATATTTTTAAATATCTTTTTATCTTTTAAGATCTTTTTTTAAATTACCTCGTCGTTGTCATCATCAAACAGTCCTCCACTGCTAGAGAACAGTCCGCCTTTTCGACCAAACGGGGAGTCGTCATCTTCCACGGGAGGAGGGCCAAAAAGGTCTCCATCTGAAAAGAAACATGGAATAAATGAGACAAATGACAGTTTGAAACAAAAAGTGGAGTATAAAAAAATAATTCAGCTATTAGTTCGTTTGGGAAAAAAACACCCTGACATTACAAGCTTTAATCGCAGTTGAGAAAATGCTTCAAGTGGGGTACAATAAAAATTGAAACTGAGGTAACTTTCTTTGCATTAAACACTACCTTCACTTCCTTTAGATTCTTTTCTTTTGCTCTTCTTCTCTTTCTTTTCCTTCTTTTCTTTCTTTTCACTTTTGGAAGATTGTCTTTTCTCTATAATGACAAACATGGAAGACACATTTAACAAAACAAGATAAATACAAGCCAAAGTAAACTGTGCCTGTGCACTACTTCTGATTTAAAAAAAATGGTTTAAAAAAAAAATTGACACCAACTTTCAATGTTTAGTTATTTAAAATTGGTAAAACCAACCCGAAGACTTGATGCAGCCAAGGGTCATTGGACAAAGGTTAAAGAGCAAGGGTCATAGGCCAAAGGTCAAGGGGCATACCTTTATGTTTTGGCGCCTCTTCTGCCTCCTCCCACTCATCCTGATCCTCATCCTGGTCCTGTTGTTTTGGGGGCTGAGGAATACCACCTCCCAGCTTGGCAGCCAACTCTGAGGCAAAGTCCACTGGGGGTGGCGGCTTCTAGTTACAGAAAATATGATGGTTTATAGGATCAATATAATAATAATGATAATAATAATAATGTCAACAACAACTATCAGTAGTAGTAGTAGTAGTAGTAGTAGTAGTAGTAGTAGTAGACATATACTAATAATAATATTTCTTGTGCAGATAGTCACAGATGAAGTAATATATGTTAAGTGAGCTTGAAATACTTAATACATGTGTTTATATTATCATGCACATATTTTACCACAAACTGTGCAAAAATGTTTGAGCAGAGTATGTCATGCAGATAGTAGCCATCGACTCACAGATATCATAGGCTGTGAAATAGCTTCTAAACCATTTGTGTAAATATAATCTGGATGCATAATAATCTTTAATCTAAAGACATACTTTTGGTTTTTCTTCTTCCTCGTCCTCCCCCTCCTCCTCCTCACTATTGAGATCCTCTTCCCCTTCTTCCTCAGATTCTTTTCCAAACAGGTCGCCATCATCACTGTCTTCAATCTACGAAATACAGCGATACTATAGCACTATGTGATACGAAAGCGAGAGAGGTGTACTGAATGACTCAAAAATTTAAAAAATCTTGGCCACAAACAAAACAATACATTAAGCAAAAATAAACAACAACAATCAAAACATATATAAAAACATGCAAGCAACCAATCTACACAAGGCTTTTAATTCAAACAAATACTATGCAGAACAAAACACAAAATCAACAGGTTGCTAGAAAAATTAATAAATTAACATAGAAGAAGAAAAAACAAATAGAAGAACTTGCAAGAGGAAATGATGTTTTCACAGATACTGAAATATACACGTCTCTGCTGGGTTACCTTTTTGGTTTTTGATTTGGCCTTGGTTTTGACCTTGACCTCTTTTTCAGAGCCACTCCCACTGTCAGTTTCACTTTCACTCTCAGAAGACTGAATTGAAGGTTAGTTACAGAAAAGGTAGAATAACAACACAGAACTAAATATGCAATGCTGTTCAAACTACACAGGAGTAAAAGAAAAAACGAAATCCAGAAATCTAAATCCGAAAAAAAATCTGAATCTAAAAATCTTAAAAAATGAGAAGGAACCAAATAGTTATGTACACTTAAGCCTAATTCACACAAAGTGTCGGAACTCAAGAAATGAGCCACATGAAACTGTGAGACAGCCCACTACACACTGTGATACATTACAAACTGGTGTGCATTTCAAGAAACATATCAGTAACCATGATTAATTTATTAGCTCTTAATCAATCAACCAATCAATTAATTATCACTCATTTTAATAAATATCCAGTTTATCCACCAATCGTTTAATAATTAATTGGTTAATCAACTACAAATATCACACATTCATTAAAAAAGTCTATCTGAAGATTTGAAAGAGACATGCTTACCTCTTCCTCAGAGGAGGATACTTTCTGTGGTTTTTTGTCCTCTTCAGAGTCTGACTCAGACTCCTCGCTCTCTTCAGACTCACTGATGCTACCATGGTCTGACACAGCTTCATCTTCTACAGAAGGACGTTTATTATTATTACTATTATTATTATTATTTACTATGGCTGAGGTCAATTTATTGTGCAGACCTCTGAAAAGCAATGCTGATTGAGGCACCACATTCATTTTGTAAACAGGGGCACACAAAAGAAATTTACATTACCAGTTCCACTCAGCTAGCAAAAACGTTTTAACTTTAATAATAATAATAATAATAATAATAATAATAATAATAATAATAATAATAATAATATTTATTATTATTATTATTATTATACACCTGGACAAAAGTTTCTTTAAGTAATTTTTACAGAATCTAAGATGGGCATACAAAAGAAATCTACGTTTTCAGTTCCACTCATCTTGTAAAAAAAAGTTTTTTTTTTAATTATAAATTGGTCCACATGCCTCCTGTGATGGCAGAGTGACACACTCACCTGAGGGGAGCTCTTCTAAACCAACATCATCTGACTGCAGGAAGAGTGGAGTCCCTATCACATGGGGAAGAGGTCGATTGATGTAAGGATCCTGGAATAGAAATTATTATTTTAATTATTTCATTTTACATCAACAACATTTAATTTTAATAAATTATTTCATTATATACAGATACATGTCGCTATTTTGTTGTTGTTGTTGCTGTTGTTGTTGTTGTTGTTGAGGGGCAGGTTAATGTAAGGATCCTAGAGTAAAAATTACTTTTATTTATTCTGTCTTCAAATATATATCATATACAATACAATATACAATATATACAAATACAATATCATAAATAAAATTAATATATCATATGTAAAAGTTACTATGATTTTTTTGTTGCTGGTTCTTCTTTATCTATGATAAATGACACAAGCTGTGAGTCACATGTAAAAGCTAATAAGAACACAATTATTCAAAAATGTAAATATAGAAATCTGCAACTGGAAGGTTTTTGCAGCGATGGTTACAAGAAACAGGCCATCAAATATTCACCCTACCTTTGTTGCCTTTATTTTTCATCCTGTTTCGAGAAAGGACGAGGTGCAAAAACATTTTTTATTGGTAAAATAAGGGTCTCTATACTCCCCTAAGAGACCCCACACACACACGCCCCTCTCTTAGATCTCCCCCCCCCCTCCAGTACACATACCTTAGGTTCAAAAATAGGATCAACTTTATAATTGGCATCTTCATCCTCAGAATCGGAATTTCCTGCGTTCACATCTAGTTTTTCAAATGCTGTATCTATCACATGCAGTCCATAGTTAATAGCTTCAGTGATCTTAGGGATAAGTTCGGCTTCTTTTTGTTCCCTCGTCTTTTCTTGTTCCTCACTCTTTTTCTCACCTTCTGGGTTTTCAGGATTTTGACTGAGGTCTTCTTCATATACTCTCTAGAAAATGAGTTTCAGATGATTTACAATGAGCTAAAGCAAACAAGGAAGAGAAACGACAGAGGTCTTTTTCATATACACATACTCTCCACATATCAAATTTAAAAATTGTTGAAACTGGACTATGTTAAGAAATAGAGGAAATGAACAGACAAAGACAGCGTTCCCAAAAACCTTATTGCACTAGCAGGATTGATCTATCTCTCTTTGCTGAAATTGCCTTTTTTTTTTTTCGAGGACACCTGCTTATAGTTACTGAATTGTAAAAGTTTGTATTAATCCCCCAATTATTATAATCATTTTATTATTCAATATATTCGCCATTTCATTTCTTATCTATTTTAATTTTGGGGCCATTAGCAACAGAAGTGAAATGAATATCAACTTACGTTTTCCACAAACTGCGTATTAGCCAGCATAATGAAGTCATTAAATGTATTATGTACTCTCACATCCGTGGACTGAAATAAAAAAGAAGAAATGAAAAACTTAGAAAAGTTAATTTAAAAATTTTTAATTTAAATAAAAAATGTATTCACTATCAAAGTGTTCATTAACAATCCCTTCTACCTCATTTACAAAGCCAATCATCATTCCACCACTTCTGGACATCATGAAATTGCCCATATATTCTGACAGTCAATTAAAAACGCATCATTTATTTATCAATTATTATTTTAAAGATGCATACAAAGTCAAATTTTTTGTCACAAAAACCAACCAAATGCCAGTATATAGTTTCAAGTAGTATAACTAAGAGAATTACCAAAAGCCATTGTTTATTTTTACCCGAAAATGATGTTTGAACGGATTTTTCTGCTGGCATTCTAAGCTGTATGTCAATGGGGCAGGAACGTAGGTCACGGAAATAGGTTAAATTTACAACCAAAAATGTAAAGAAAGGAGCAGTCTAAAGGTCTTTTATGGCTGATCGAGTGATCAATTCAGTTTATCCCTTGGCATGTCGAATTAATTTGAGTCATATAAGAATCTAGTAGAAGTGGTTTACATGTGTTACTGGGAACCCACGCTCCACCGATGCTCGGTTCGTATGTACCTTTAANGGAAGTAGGTTAAATTTACAACCATAAATTTAAAGAAAGGAGCAGTCTAAAGGTCTTTTATGGCTGATCGAGTGATCTATTCAGTTTATTCCTTGGCATGTCAAATTTATTTGAGTCATAGAAGAATCTAGTAGAAGTGGTTTACATGTGTTACTGGGAATCCACGCTCCACCGATGCTCGGTTCGTATGTACCTTTAAATTTCCTTTGGAACATTAAGAAAAGAACAGTTTTCGTGTGAAATATGACCCATTATTCAGTCAAACAAGGTGACTCTCTTATGACCAAACAAGTGCATTTGTACTCGTTTATACATGTATGGTTGGAATGGATTCTGAGAAAAAAAGTACAAGAAAGTTTTCTGATGCACTTTCAATGACTGTCAGTATATATTCACCTAAAGGAAAGCGCCCATACACTTACCTTCATTTCATTTACAAGTCCATCAACCTGTTTTTCTATCTCATGAGTTCTGGATATCATCTTCTGTGAAAATTCTTGCAAATACAACAGGAGCTGAAAATGGAATACACAGGGTGTCAAGCATGTTTGAGATATTTAGACACAAGATTTTTTAACTATACAGTCTGAACTTTTAAGTTTGTCAATAAATGACTGCTGCAAGTGATCATCTGATATCATGAGGATGATGCAACATGTTTTTCTGCTTGTACATAATACAAAATTTTCCAATTTATGCCGGCCTTCCAAATTCTGATGACTACTACAACTATGGTGTGATCACTCAAATGAACTGTTAGTGACCCAGGCTATGCATATAAACCATGTACAAAGTCATAAAACATTAAAGTCATAATAACTCTTCGTTTTGGCCAAAAATTGGATTTTCCTGGAAAAAACGGCAATTTTCCCGTACTTACCAATGGCCAACGACCCCATTCCTGCATTCAAAGTTAATCCAGGGTTTTTTTCCTAAACGTACGGTTTTTTGTTAAAATCTCTTAAGAGATTTTAACTGACGGAGCTCTCTCTGACATTGCAAAGTCACTGGTGACCTACTTAAAACCGCGGGAAAAGCAGACAACAACAACACTATATAAGATTCATGAGATATATTCGTCTTTTTGTTAAAAATGCATTTATATCCACAATGTGTGCCATTCTGGGCTTTTCGTTATCCGACGCACTGTACAAAAACTCGCAACTTACGTCTGCGTCTGCACTAATGCGTTTGGCGCCATGTTATTTTGGTCTCGAATGAACGCGAGAATCCGCGTGACACCATTACGTCATTAGCAACGAATGCACTTGTCGACCGGAAAAAAGGCATCGTAAGCCCTATTGACAAGCACAGATTTTAGTTTTCCTACAATAACGGCCGTTTTAGTGGTAAAATACAATAGAATATATTTCCATGCGTTTTTTACAATGTATTTCATGCGGATTTTTGAATCTCAAAGGAAGAGTTATTATTGCTTTAAA